TTTATGGATAAGGTACAGACAGCCAGGGTGATAACAATATATGACCACATTTAAACGTGGGCCTATAAAAATGAATTACATTTGGAAATGGCAATACCTCATTGAGTTCTATTAATCATATACAGGACACAATTCTATGGAATACAGTTATTGTGGATTTCCAGTTCAATTACTAAATTCCATTGAAGCAATTTGATTTAATCAATACCCAATTATTAGTTGGATATAAATACTTTTTCTGCTACATCACATATAATTTCAATGGCAGGGAATATGAATTTAACAATGTATGCTATCAACTTTTATTAAATAATCAATAATAAAGATAATATCACTTAAATAAAATTTTCAAAAGTAAATAAGGACCTGTGTACAATTTTATACTGTTATAAAATGACATCAAAAGCAATGTTCTCTGATTGATGAAATTAATCAAAACATACAGAAACACAATGAAAACGCATCACTGATTTCACTGAAAATCCTGGAGAGATATCAAGCAGCTAAAATGTAAGTTTTGTTATAATTGAAGGCTGGGCATTTACTGCAAATCAATATATGCCATAAAACATCCCCACATAGGGGAAATAACCTTCTGAATGGATGCATGTGTGATCCTTCTCCACTCTTTTGAATTAACACAACGATGCACTCTAGGTGTCCACGTATCAACCTTGGCATATCATTGCATCTTCAACAGAACTGTATGAGTATACTTACATGTGTAGCCTAGATTTTTGAAAGCCACATTTTATACCCCATGTCTGCACCATAGGAATGCAAATTTCAACTTTCCCATTCAGTTAAATTCATTTTTTTGTATGCTCCATCTGTGGTACATTTATGCAATCATGAAAACATCATTCTTGCAAACTATCAATGTGATCTGATATTACAAGACTACAAGATTAAATTCATTGTACCTCTCAAATCATCTATGGTTTGTTTTCATTGCATCTCTGTATATCATATCAGAAATTTTAAGACCCTCTGTCTTGTCTTCTAACAAACAGTCTGAATTTGGAAATTTCTCCTTAACGTTGCTGCAAGAGATTATGACTACAGTCTAGTAAGCTACGGTACATATGTTCTTATTCTAATATATCTTACTGAAAATTGATCTTTAGGGAGTCTACAAGTGGTCTCTACAAAATTTTCCAAACTAAAGTAAAGGGAACTAATCGAGAAACATATCACAAATGAAAAAGGGTGAAATGATAAGGGTTTACAGAAATACAGGATTATAAATTCAAACAAATACACGGGATAAAGACTATAAATAACCTATTTATACAAAACAAAAATTCAGACATACAAAATTATTCAACATGAGGTTTATATACTATTAATTCTGAATAATTTATAAACGATATAATTTTCACGACTACAAATGCATAAATGCATTGACTATACAAAACAGTCTATATCTGCACATTAAGATCATCTGAAGTCTTCAGCTGAAAACATTCCCTGAAACAAAAGATGAATAAATTATATAATGCTCTTTGGTGGACAACCCAGTAAAGTGAAATACAAATATGATATTAGCAAGTCATTTTTACAGGTCTGTGAAGTCAACGGGGTCTTTCGTGAAAAAGGAGGGGGAGTAAACTTCAGCATGAAATTGTAGGTATTCGGATAATGAATTTCATGAGCCGACATCACATTAATAGGAATGGTGATTATCTTGCTATGGGTTAATGTACCAAATTCTTTTTAAGAATAGCTATTAAGATGGCCCATGTTAAGATTTTATATGAAAATCGGTGGCACAATCAATGGGAAATTTGATTGAACAGAGTCAATGGGTCACATGGTCCTCAGAAATTGGTAAAATTGGTAAGAGTCTGCAAATTAAGTCATATAAACCAGAAATTATGGTACTAGTATTCACAAAAGGTCAAAAAAAGGGTATTTCCCTGGCAAAAATATTTCTTAAATGATATAAGCTAAAGCAGAGTTTTTCAAAATCAGTCACAGCATATTCATGTGTAACCTTAAAAGCTCATCCCTAAACCAATCCCATAAAAAGTCAAAATATAATTAACTGCCAATAATTTAGTGGAATCACTGATCATTGACTAGCTGGGCCTATTAAAGCAGAAACTGACTGGTCCAATTAAAGTTGACATACCTTAGCTCGTCTTAAAATGGAATCTTTGGAAGCATCATATGGTGCATCTTTACTAGGGATTTCTAGAACAGCCGGTATGGGCTCTGTATGCTTCTCTATTGCATGTCTAATCATCTCTGCATACTAAAAAGGAAAATATAGAAATTTTGAAAATAGTGCTTCAAAATATGTGCAACAAACCCCTAAAAAACACTACAACAACTTGTCACCACTCACCAGTATTCAGTGGGAAGTTACTTGCTCAAATAAAGAACACACTATCAATGCCTATCTCACAGTACTAGTGTTTTTAAAATTCTTCTACAAAGTTTAAAAATTAAACTTACTGTTTGATTTATCAGTATAATAGCTACATCATCACGTTTAATAAATGATTTAAAAACTTCCTCTATTTCTGGTACACTTGTATCTGAAACAATATACATATGTATTCTTTTTAAAAATTAAACTTACAAGTTCTGGGATATGAAACTACTCTCCCCAATTTCATATGACCAAGCAGAAAGATTTTTATTAAAGCTGGTGATTGTCATTTGCATATTTCGGAAAATATGTAATATTTTTTTACAGCTTAATCAATGCTAAAATGTTGTCAAATATATTAACTGATATTTAATTAAGAAAACAAAATCAAAATATCAATAGCAGCAGTGATTTATGGAGTGAGCTCATATCAGCTTTATAGCAGACAGTACCATATTCCATGGTGCATTGTGATGCATGCAATCTGATTAAAATACAGATCCATATTTCACTTCGTTTTGTTATACTTTCGATGGCCTCTACTACATGAAGAACTGACCGGTTGTAGTGAAAGGTCGCGTCGGAGGTTTTTTACCCTTTTACGTCAGACATTTGATTAACCAATCAACATTGATGTTTCTAGTGGGTTACCCACAGTTCCGTGCACCTCACGCCAAAAACTCGCCGTAACAGACTATTTCATTGGCTACTCCCTAACATCACCCAGAACGTGGGTTATATAACAACTCCCCCTGATCCTAGTGTAGTAAAGACAAGTAAAACAAAATTTTGAACTATAAAAAACAAAACGAAATAGGATCTGTGTTTTAATCAGATTATGATGCATGCAACTACAAACTGATTTACAGAAAGTCGTCATAATGGAATTTCTTCTCCCTGATCAGAACACGGTGATCGATTCTTTTCAGTATTTTAACGTAATTCCAGCATTGAACAGAGGAAAATAAAATCATTTACTCTTCATGAACCTAATACGAAAAATGCAAATCCTGTTTCAAATGTCAGATTCACATTTTATAGTCATTTTTTTCATTTTTCATTTCAGATTGCAAATTTATTCCGTTTCAAATCTGCATTAACTAAATTACATTAATGACATATAAATGTGATCTATGTTTACCGTATCAATTTGAGTTAGTATTTAACTGAACTTACTTTTATCTACAACTAAGAAATTTGGACGTCTATTTTTGTCGATTTCTCCTATTCCACCTAAAACAAACCCTGTACAGGTGTCCTGTAATGAAAAATATTGAATAAAATGCAAACACCATTCATTATGGCTATTAATATTTTAAATTCAATTTTTTAATACAGGGGTCTTATAAATCCACATCAAATGCTCTAAGCGCTGACCACACACCAAGCCCACTATAACACAAAACACACATAATGTCCTAATTAAAGATAACATTTGAAAAGATAGGTCTTGGAGGTTTGATTTAAGGAAGTTAATGTTTCAGCAAACTTTAGTTTTAAGGGCAAGGAATTCCAAAGTGTTGCAGAGATACATGTAAAAAGGCCTGGTACCAAATGTTTTCAATTTGTATTTGGGTGTCTCAAGTAGACATTGGTCAGAAGATGATGAAGGTCATATCATTGTAGATTCGGAGCAATATATAGATATGTGATTTAATATACATTATCGATTCTAATACAATTAACCAAGACGTATGTTGGATGGTATTGGGTAGAAATTTTAATATAGTACCAGTACTAAAATAAATTTATAAATATTTTAATGCTTTCTTATGATTTATGTGTGCATTCACTTTATCTTCCAACATATACAAATATTTTATATCTATTTATACAATCATGGTTTCACCTCATAAATATATTTGTGCCTTGGCAACCCAAAAATTTTAGCACCTTATGTTCATAGCATACTGTTACTTTTAGACCCTATTATACTGTAGATGCATATTTATATACAATCTAAATCTAAATAATAGAATCGATATTGACAATGTCAACAAATAAAAAATAAGATGTCGATGCGGATGTATTTGATGTCTGACGTCAATGCAACGATTACAATAAAGATGTTGAAAAAAGATGAAATCCGAACATGAAAATTGTCCTTGTTGGTTTTAGAAATGGATTAGAAACAATTTTTGGATTCGGTGGACTGCAAACGTTTTATATAAATCCAGTAAAATAGTTTAAATATACACAGCCTGTTATTTAGTTTACTTACTTCGTCGCCAATCACCGCGATAAGTCTCCCTTTCTGAGCTGCTCGGATCGCCATTTTGACTATCTTAAAATCACATGACTATAAGTAGCCTCTGTCAACTTGTCGAACGACCAGATACACACTATTCTACCAAACCAGCCGACCTATCAAACAAAACATTTGAGTAGTGTGTTTCTATGTAAATATATTGAGTATTTCTGACTTACATTATAGGTATTTTTTTTCAATTTTCATAGTGAATAATTTTGTTGCAAAGGAGATTTGGTCAAACATTAAAACCACCATAATAATGTTTTTCCTCAGATGTGAGTTATTCGCGTCTCTATATACATTCGGTGGACTCCGGCATAAAACTAACCAATGAAACGTTTCTGACCCAGTTGGACGAAGGAGTGACTAAATTTCGATTGACCAGACCCTAATAATGGATTGACAGGTATTCAAGCAACTCCCAAAGAAAAAAGAAATTTAATTAGAAGGAGCATGCAATCATTCAGGAAATAGATAAGATTCAGTGATATAATTTTAGTAATGAGTTATCTAATGAATTCGTGTATAAATATAAAATATCCATTGCTTGAATCTTACAAGGTAACATATAGATGCATTTAGGCCAATTTATATTGACTATTATTGCTGTTGTTAGTTGTTATTCAGTTATTGATAAATGCAGCCCCACTCAGACTCAGTGTCAGACTAAAAAAATGGTTGAAAAGATACCAAAATTACAATGCACCAAGTTATAGTACCTGGCTGTACCATAAAAGATCAAATCTCTAGATGAATTATTAACTGAATATAGAACTGTCAACTACACAACTACATGTAGGTAAACCTGACACGATCCTAGGAATATCAAGCTCTCTATTGACTCTATAATCCAGTAACAAATAGCCTGTTACTTATAGTAAGTAGGTGTTTAGGTATTTAGGCACAACGACACCATCAAACTTAGCTGCAAGTTACTTGTGGCGTCTTCTCTTGTCCGAGACAAGACGGAAGATATCAATAGTGGAACCATAGTCCAGGTCCAGACAATGGCACAGTGAGCAATTATATTTTATTATTAAAGAAGTTCTTAAGTTCATGATGTCATCAGATAGAAGTTGGAGGTGGACTGATGCACATTATTGTGGTTTAACATCACAAACTAACATTTATGGTATGACTAGAATATCGAATGTGAATGGAACTAATCGTCTGTTGGTCGCTTCCTTGAAGGGAGATGTTGTCTCTGTTGAGTATAAAAAGATACAAAATAAACTAAAGCCATGTTCAAGAGCAGTGCAATTTACTTATATACCAGGTAAACACAAGACTTTATATTTTATAATGCAATGGATAAGGCCTATACTGTCTAATTTATTATCATCATAGATTGCTTGATTACGGTGGGAATTAATGCCGCTTATACTGTCTAATTCAGTATATCATCATACATGTACATTCCTTGCAGTGGGGATCGATAAGGCTTTAACTCTCTCATTAGTGTCATACATTTGTATTTATTGAATTGATTTGCCTATTAGACTTTCACATAATCCGTTTGACAGGTATAAGGAGAGACTGTCCCTGTACACATGTCAGTGTCTGTACCGTACCTTACTTAGTCACATATTCCAACCATAACCCCAACTCGAGGTACTGTTACAATACACCATCATTGCACTGCAATACCTATCTTGGAGCAGTTTTTGAAATGAAAAGATTATTGCTCTGGAAAATTTGGTGAGAATGTTTTATTAGTACTAGCCTTACCATATGAAATCGATCTTGTAATGTCATCAGTTAGTATGATTTAAATTAAACATGCATTATGCAACAGCTAAATCTGATTATTGCAAGTCTTAATTTAGGCTTCAGATGTTATAGAAATTATAAATTAGATCTTTATTTAAACAACAAGACCAAAATCAACTCTGTAGACCCACGGATGGCTCGGCTACAGCTCGGATTTAAATAGGATTTCACTAATTGATTAAATCAGATAAGGGGTAACCTGATGAAAATACGTCAGTTAGATCGAGGCTAAATGATAGAGTGTACTTAGCGAGGCCGCTGTAAAGTGTTTCCGTATGCCATTGAAAACTTTACTTGATAATCGAGATATGTAGGTGGAGTTAACGCCTGTCAATCAAACGATCTGCGAAGGTGAAGACACATTTCGCTACCATTTCTAGGCAAATATTACAACAATGATAACTATGTTCAGAATAAAGTAATTTGACTGAATTTTTCAATATATTCTTCTTTCATCATCTACTTTTGAACTGTTATAGCAAGAATGGCCAACTCTCTATAAAAATCTCCCATAATGTATCTTTAACAAAGGATATTATTATTGACCAACTTTAAAAAAAATATGCACTTTGTTTCCTCATAGCTCCTTCACTATGGAGTGGTCTCATTCTGTTCTACTCCACTATACCCTGAGTTCATCCATGGGGTATTCACATATTTAAATTATCTGCCCTTGATCATAGCTTGAGTCTACGAATGAATCACAAATCAGTTTACAAACCAGTCTTAGCCTCATTGTTTACGTTCACAACAATATGGTGGCTTGTTTGCTTGATTAGGAGAAAATTTGCAAGAGATTTAATATAAAAGTTGTGACATGCACACAAAAAGATGCCATAAAACATGTTTTTGATGGGAAAGATGTTATTATGTCAGTCCAAACAAGCAGTGGCAAGTCGTTATGCTATTAAGCGTATGGTACATGAAGATAAGAATAGCACACTCATCAAGGGCAGATAATTTGAATATATCTCCCCCAAAGATGTGGAATGGAATGAAATGGGGTTTAACGTCCTACTGTTCTGCTCCTATACTGGGCTAATGAAGACGGGCATACGCCATACAGTGTGCTATGAGGGAAATTTTGCCCGGGCAGCGGCACTATCGTCTACTCTTATATCAAATTCCAACTGCCAAGGGATCTTTTACGTGCATTCCAATGTATACACGGGACCTCGGTTTTCCGTCTCATCCGAAGGACTAGACAGCTGTCCTTGTCGGGCCCTCCGTTCTGCACCACTGACAAGAGGAAACCACGTCGGAAAATCCAGATGCACTTTCTCGGCCACCCGACCTCCAGACTAGCGAGCCAGCGTCTTAACCACCTAGCCACCGTGGCTCCGTATAGTGGAGTGGAATGGAATGAGATCACTGGTGATACAAAGGATTGGTTCTTTTACGTGCTTACTGAAAACCTGGGTGGATCTTGGTTTTTCATAACATCCGAAAGACTAGACACTTTTTCCTTGCCAGGCCCACTGTCCTATACCACTGACACAGGGAAGCCAAGGTGGAAAATCCTGAGGATTTCTCGCGCAACTTTGGGAGTGAACCTGAGCATCATATACACTGACCCACCGTGGCTTCACAGATGCTTAAAGATAATAAAGATTATATCATTCGTGGTGTGAATATTGCGATACAACAATATGTATATCAATGTATTATAACAAACATTTGTTTTATCTTCTTGTAGCGGATGCAGAGATAGTATCTATTGATATTATGAATAAATGTGATCCTGGTTCAGGCTTAGTTGTTGGAATAACTTTTATTAGGGTAAGTATCAATGATGTATATGTGTACAGTCTAGATTTAAGGTTTGCCATTGAGTATAGGAAGTATCTCTCCTTCCCACACCACATTGGAAAATCTAGAGGAACTAGTTTGTGAGGCAGCATCTTACTCACTAAGCCACAATGGCTCCAGGTCTTGTATCTGACATTTAACCTTTGTGACAGACATGTATCAAAAATATAAAAAAAATAATACAGAAATTCTACAAATCTATGCCTGACAGGCAGGCATAAGATATCGTCTGTAACAGGTGGCGTATTTTTAGTCTTGTTATTAGTATTTTGAGAGTTGGAGAAAAATAGAATAAGGTTTTTTGTTCACGTTTCTTTTGATTACAGCTTCAAGGTGGTGACAATAAACCAACTGGTCAGTTTTTGAATCTGTATTTTTCTTTCGAAGAAAGTAGTGAAGAGGTTAAACAAGATATAATGGCCAGTAAGTAGAGGTTGTAATGATATTGTAAAATGGAGTACCCTCCCTTCTACTGCATTAGTATTCTCAGAAAAAGAGTTGAAATGTGCTGCAATGACTCGGCTAATGAATGTGGCCATGCACCATACAGTGTGTTATGAGGGGAATTTTGCCCGGACAGTGGTGCTATGGCCTACTTTTACATGTATATCGAATTCTGACTGTCAAGGTTATTTTACATACTCACAGGACCTCGCTTTTCCATCCCATCTGAACAATTAGACGCTGCCCTTGCCAAGTACTCATCCTGCACCACTGACAAGGGGAAACCATGCTGCAAAATCATATTGACCAACACCGGGAATTAACCCCAGATCTTCTGGTTAGTGATCCAGTGCCTTACTCTCTGAGCTATTGTGGCTCACTATGACTTATGATTAACATGGCCAATACATAAACTACTCTTTACTTGTTGCCAGCCTTGTCTTTCGATTGATGCCCACATAATTAGCCTGGCCCGCTAACGAGACAGAGGTGTTTAGTTTAAAGTAAATAGTAAATGAATAAATTTAAAGATATTAATGATATTAAAATATTAGTTATTTTGTTAGAATTCTAGCCAAATTATTTCCAGGTCATTCTTTATAGTTTTCATAAAGTTTATCCTGAGTAAGAAGAACCTATTGTGTTCAATGTAGAGAAGAACTTTTAGATTGTTGTGTTAGTCTCAGAAAATCAAGTGACACTTTAATAAACAAATTACTTACTGTAAAATAAATATTTCAATTTAGTGATGTAAGTGCATATTTTAATGTGATCATGTATTAGTATCACTCATCTGTCCATTATTCACAGAGGCGAAAATAATCCTGACAAGGACAGCTGTCTAGTTGTTTGGATGGGACAGAAAACTGAGGTCCCGTGTACACATTGGTATGTACGTAAAAGATCCCTTTGCAGTTGGAATTTGATATAAGAATAGGCCGTAGCACTGCTGTCTGGGCTAAATTTCCCTCATTGCCCACTGTATCATTTTGAAAATTGTATGAGTTGTTTAGCTCCTAACTATTGCAACTTTGCTGCCAGTAGTAGGCACATATTTTATTGCCTAGTAACCTATGTTATTGTTGTTTTGTTTTTTAGAAACTATAGAGTTGTCATTTGTTCCATACCAATTAACACACACTTTGTAAGTATCATTTATTGTAGTTGTTTTTATACGTCCACATTGAAATGTGGTCTTATATTGTCGTTGCCCCCGTCCCGTCGGTCCGTCCGTCCGGTGGTCCGGCGTCCACAATTGCTTGTGGACGCTCTAGAGGTCAAAGTTAATATCTGATTTATACACAGCGTTTAAGGTCATGAGACGAAGAATCCTATTGATTTTCAGCGATTTCCGATTATTACTGCCAGAGTTATGGCCCTTGATCACTTTGAAAAATCTTGTGGATGCTCTAGAGGCCTAAGTTAATATTCGATTGACTTTAAATTTATACACAGTGTTTAATGTGCTGAGACGAAGAAGCCTATTGATTGTCAGCAATTTCCGATAATTACTGCCAGAGTTATGGCCCTTGATCACTTTGAAAAATCTTGTGGATGCTCTAGAGGCCAAAGTTAATATCTGATTGACTTCAAATTTATACACAGTGTTTAAGGTCATGAGACGAAGAAGCTTATTGATTTTCAGCGATTTCCGATAATTACTGCCAAAGTTATGGCCCTTGATCACTTTGTGACGCTCTAAAGGCTAAAGTTATCATCCGATTGACTTTAGATTAATACACAGAGTTTAAGATCTGTTTAAAAAGTTAAACTTGAGAATGCCAGGAGTTCAATGTAAACCTCCACCCCCAAGAAATTAATCCTATATTTTACAGACCAACTACCAAAATATGAAACATGAATAAATAAGCCATTTCAAAAAGTTATCTTCCAAGTTCTCACCCGACAAGATATTTTGAAATGGAACAGCACCTGTTTTTTCTGAAATTGTGATAAGACCACTTCATTGAACTCTGTTTTTTTTATTGATCTATATTTTTAGGTTGGTACACAATAATGACAACAAAGAATCCATATTCCTGTTGTGTGGTAGTGATAATAAAATTCATATGTACAAAGATGTAAGATATTTTTTCGTTGATAATTTAACTAATATGTTTATAATCTAGGCAATTTAACCATCTTCACAGATCATGAGTAATAATTTTTTTTTTAGGGGGCAGGGCCAGCATTAGGCTTTGTATATGTATTTACTGAATCATGGCTAATGAAATGGGGTTTAACATCCTACTGTTCTGCACTGACTGGGCTAATGAAGAAGGATATATGCCATACAGTGTGCTATGAACGAAAATTTGGCCCGGTCATCTGCACTGCAGCCTATCTTATTTCGAATTCCATCTGTCATTGTGTTCACAAGACCACATTTTTTGTCCCATCCAAACAACTATACAAAGAATTTTTTTGACCAGGATTGAACATGGGACTTTCAGCTGGTTAGCGAGTCAACATCTTATGCTCTGACTGAGCCACCGCTGCTCCCGGGCTAATGGTCCTGTTGGAAAAACTGAAATGACCTATTAAATCACTGTGAAAGTTAAATACTTTCTTAGATAATAAATTATAAGCTACTGAGTGACAATTTATTTATTTTATGAAGGAAGCAGACAATAATTTTTTAGAAGAAAACCCTGATGAATATTTTCCAGAATTTAAGGATTGTGATAGCAGGTTTGTAAATGTTTTGTAATGGCAACATTCTTTAAAGCCGCAGATTGTCATTTGCATTTTTCAGTCAATATCTCATTTTCACGGCAAAAATTGACTGAAATTGATTATTTAGCATTTGATTAAGAACAGAAATCCAAAATATCAATGGTAACTAATCATCCGACTTGTATTCAATTGGAATAAGGAATCTGATGCAAAATATTTAATTCATCTTATCTTGTTCAATACCAAACCAGGGCTCACGCTGGCTTTCAATTTTTTTCGCCAAAATTGATGATAATTCCTATATAAAAAAAATGTTCATATTTTTTCCCGCCAACTGGAATATTTTATCTGCCAAAAATGTGTGATAAAAAAGACAACATCTAACAATGTTATGTTTCAGTTAGACTTATTATAAAAAAATTACCGATATATACAATACAATATACAACAACTTTAAAAATCTGTCTTTACATAATAGATTAGCAAAGTTTGGATTTAATAAGATCAGATTTTATTTTTGGTGACTTTAGTCTATTTGAGCACCGTACTGCACAATATATTTTTAGTATTTACACGTCAAATCCCATCCAGGGATTGCCAATTAATTTTTATACGCCCACATTTTCATGTGGACGTATATTGTCGTCGCCCCTGTCTGTCCGTCCGTCCGTCCACAATTGTTTGTGAACAGTCTACAGGTCACAATTTTTATCAGATTTCAATGAAACTTGAAATATAGGTTTCGATATTGGCATGTATCGGACTGTAACTTCATGGATTATGTCCCCTGATAGTACGAAAAATCACGTTTTTAGTTTGTGAACACTGTAGAGTTCACAATTTTTATCTGATTTAGTTTAAACTTGAAATGTATGATTATAACCCAAAGATCTCGGTTCCTTTCGATATTCGGGCATATCTGAACATTCTACAGGTCACAATTTTTATCAGATTTCAATGAAACTTGAAATATAGGTTTCGATATTGGCATGTATCGGACTGTAACTTCCTGAATTATGGCCCCTGATTGTACGAAAAATCGCGTTTTTAGCTTGTGGACCCAATAGAGGTCATAATTTTTATCCGATTTAAAAAAACGTATTATGATATCACCGTTAAACCCTAAGCGTAAAAATATGGTATATCAAGGTTGTGGACCTTATAGGTCACAATTTTTATCCGATTTTGTTGAAACTTGAAATGTAAGTTTATCACCCAAAGATCTCGGTTCCTTTCGATATTCGCGCATATCGGACCGTAACTTCCTGAATTACGGCCCCTATCCATCTCTCGAAAATGTGGGCGTATCCTGTCTGGCAGCCGCTGGTTTATAAATTTATGTGTGCGTGTACAATGGGCAAATTGTTATTTTCAGGTACTGTAGAGGTATCAGAATCTAAATCCCTGATAGAATGATATAAATTTCAATTATATTTGTAAGAGATGCTTACAATTATACCTGTCTTTAACTTTTAGAGCAATTTGGCGACGGTAATATGATACAAATGGCGAACTGTTTTCTCGCTCAAGAATCGTCACTATTCTTCTTTTTTTTTATGTTTTCGACCAGTGCTAATAATATAATTTGAAATAATATCCAATATGCATGCTTGTATATTTTACATGCCGTATATGAAACCACTGTAAATGGAATTCAGCTATCAAAATAATTAATTCTCTTCAAAAGGAACTGACGGCCATTTTGATTACATGTATTACCATTCTTTTTAAGACGAAACGAAACATCAATCAAGTAATCACCGCTTAGATTAATCATTAGGAGTAAATAATGACTTGGGATAGGCTTTCTATAGATCACTGGCAATTATCAATCAACTAATCATTAATCCAAGACAGTTGATTAGTATTACTCATTGACGCGATCCGGATTATCAGCCAGTTGATTAATTTAAAGTACCCCGCCATGTGATTGACACTAAAAGTAGCTAAGTCTCTAACTCAATAACATCCAAAATCTTCGACATTGAAAACACGAATTATTGATCAATTTAAATCAACATGATGTTGTGATCTTACCGGGAAAAGATGGCCTTCTGATATCCAATATTTAAGAAAAAATAAACATTTTACAATTGGTACATGAATCGTGTACCATAATGCGTTTCAGTGCTATTTGTAATAAGGGACTCAAAAAACGAGGCTAGGCATATTCCAGAAGTCATGTCAAACGGTGACACTATATTCTTATCTGGAGAGCATTCGCAATAAATACTATCGGTGTAGACTGGAATAACCAGACGCTAGAGATTGCCATTCGATTGAATCTTCTGGCGTATTTCGCCCGAGCCTTACTGATTAGAAATTACAATAAAACAGAAACGATTGAATGTAAATCAGTTTATATACATTCATATTACATTATTGTATGCGTTACGACCCATTTGTGTCAATTTCTAGGTCCCAAATATTAGCGATTTAGCTCCTTTAATAATGGTTAATCCAGGATAAATAGGATTAGAATTTGAAGGAATCGCCTGTACCGCAAAACATTATCGCCAAAAACAAATTTTAGTCGCCACTTACATATTTTTATCACAAATTGCTACTTTGCCGACCGACAGTGTGACCTCTGTACCAAACAATCTGATTAAAATACAGATCTATATTTCGTTATGTTTTTTTATACTTTCGATGGCATACACTACATGAAGATCTGACCGGTTGTTTTGGTAGGTCAGACATTGATTAATCAATCAGCGTTGGCATTTCTAGTGGTTTAGCCACAGTTCCGTGTATGGAATGCCAAGAAGTCACCGTAGCAGACTGTTTCATTGTCTTATCCCTCACTTTAATCAAAATGCCGGTAATATAACAACTTTTCCAGATCCTAGTGTAGTAAAGACAAGTAAAACGAAATTTTGAACTATAAAAAACGAAACGAAATAGGATCTGTGTTTTAATCAGATTGAATACAAATGAAATCAAATAATTTTGGGACTGACATTCCTTTTACATTTTCATCTTTTATAATCTTGTAGTTTTGCAAAGGATTCAGAATCCCTGAAATGACGATTAGTGGTTTTAATTGTTGATAAATCCTGTTACCTCTGTCTAAATACCTGTAATTTTGAAACCTTTATAACCTATCCTCTGTATTGCAGTTATGCACGGTTTGAATTTAAAATTTCTAAGCAAACTAAAAGATTTGAATTGATGTAACAGTAAAAGTAATCTAAAGAGCTGTGTATATGATTTCCTGTATTAATGTTTCAGTACACTACGACTTGTAATTAAATATACAGATAATTACACCAAAAGATTAACGGCTATGGGCTTCCAAAGTGGAACAGTTAAATTTTCTTTGGTTGATGTACAAAAAAATGGTAATTATACGCCTGCTGTGGTTGGATATTTCCATCACCCCTGTCCATCTATCTCTCATTCACATTTCCTGTAAAGCTCAAGAGGCTAAGGTTATCATTCGATGAACCTTGAATTTATTTGCAGTGTTATGTTATGTTCATCAGACGAGGAAGAAGATTGATTTTCCATGATTAGCTATAGTTACTTACAGAGTCATGGCCTTGCTCTCTATAAAAGTTTTGAGGCCACTCTAGCTATTAAAGTTACCATCTGATTTTCAATCGGGTCCATTTATTATTCCCATGATACAATGTAGCATATTGATTTTCAATTATTGATCAAACTGAAAGATTGCCCAAGTGAAATGAAATGAAATGAAATGAAATGAGGTTTAACGTCCTACTGTTTTGCTCGGAACTGGGCTAATGAAGACGGGCATACGCCATACAGTGTGCTACGAGGGAAATTTTGCCCTGACAGTGGCACTACGGCCTACTCTTATATCGAATTCCAACTGTCAAGGGATCTTTTACGTGCATCCCAATGTGTACACGGGACCTTGCCCAAGTGAAAGAGAGAAATGGGGTTTAACGTCCACTCGACACAAACTAGGTCATTTCGGGACTCTCATATACGGTTTAATTTTATTTCAATAATTCGCTTGCGCGTAGGGGTCTTTAGCGGTGGGAGGAAACCGGAGGACCCGGAGAAAACCCACAAGGTTGGACAGGCGCCTAAGTGAAAGAACCTTATTTGTTGGCGCTGATGACTTTGTTGCCTGGTAACCTATCTTTATGATCATTCTTTCAATTATATAGGGGATCACGGTGGCTAAGTGGGTAAGGCGCTGGCTCGCTAGCCTAGAGGTCGGGTGTTCGATCCCTGCATTGGCCGAGAAAGTTCATCCAGATTTTCCGGCGTGGTTCCCCCTTGTCAGTGATACAGGACGGAGGGCCTGACAAGGACAGCTGTCTAGTCATTCGGATGAGACGAAAAACCGAGGTCCTGTGTACACATTGGCTTGCGCGTAAAAGATCCCTTGACAGTTGGAATTCGATATAAGAGTAGGCCGTAGTGCCGCTGTCCGGGCAAAATTTCCCTCATAGCACACTGTATGGCGTATGCCCGTCTTCATTAGCCCAGTTCGGAGCAAAACAGTAGGACGTTAAACCCCATTTCATTTCATTTCATTTCATTTCAATTATATAAAGGGGGCACAATTTTATTTTTAAGAATGACATCGGTATGTCAAGAACAAGGCAGAATTAGTTTTTATGACATTTTCATTGACTATATAGACATAATATTTTGAAATATTAATGAAAAAAAACAACCTTACCAACCCTGCAAAAGTATTGTTTGTTAATATGAATTATTGATGTTATGTTATTTGTATTTTAAGAGGAGTATATTTCATATTCAAGGTAATAATAAGAACCCTGTCCCGTCCCAATATCCACCTGCCTAGTAATTTTTCTTTGATCTGCCTAGAAATAAGCATGCAAATAATTCTGGTTTCATAGTATATATTTTTGAGGTTATTTTATTCATATATTTGTAGTTATATTAAAAAGTTGGTGTTCTACACATGGGAACCCTATTACTTCTATAGTTATATTTAATCCACAAAATCAAGTTCCATGTCCATCTTTTATAGAGTCCTCACAAGGTATGTATGATGTAAACAATTTATTGATACATATTTAGAATGCACACTAACATCCATAAGGGATTGACGGTTCATGTTCTACAGATTTGTTTTATTATAAATTGCCATGCAGTGTGCTATTAGAACAATTTTACCCAGGCAGTGGTGCTACTGTCAATGGTTCTTTTGTGTGCACACCAGTGTGTACACAGGACCCCCCGAATGACTAGACACTGGCCTTTGCCAGACTCCATCATGCACCACTTACAAAGGGAAACAACTCCGGAAAATCCTGAGGAGTTTTCTTGGCCAACACCAAGATCCAACCCGTTCCCTCCAGCTTATCGAGACAGCACCTAATACACTGAGCCACTGCAGCTCCCAAAAGATAACATTAATGATGTTGGAAAAACTTATGATCCATGCATATTGATATATGCTTTAGGTATTATCTTGATATTGTGCAGTGTGTGTTAAATACAAGCATGATAGTTGAAGTTAATGCCTTGGTGAAATTCATCTCATTATTTCAAACATAACCATACAAAACAAAATGCCAATATTAATCTAAAATTATGTAAATAGTTGCTAGATCTTCTATATACCTCTAGTTTCCTTTCAAGTGAACTATGGTTTTCTTTTTATTTTCAGAAAATGGTGGCATAGACGAAGAACGCACATTAATATATCATTTATTAGTTACAAGTGCTCTTATGCCTGCTGTTGTTTATAGGTAAAATTTATTAATAGAATAAGTAAACTTTTTTCAGTTCAGAACAAAATGTACATTGAACATTTCAAATAGCTAGACCTCGTGGATTTGCAAAAATTCCTCTACTTCTGTGAAAATATCTCTTCTACTGTATGTTAACATATCTCTTCAACTGTATGTTGAAATATCTCAACTTTTTGTATGTTAAAATATCTCTTCTACTGTATGTTAAAATATCTCAACTTTCGTATGTTAAAATGTCTCTTCTACTGTATGTTAAAATATCTCTCCTATATGTTAAAATATCTCAACTATTGTATGTTAAAATATCTCAACTTTTGTATGTTAAAATATCTCTACTGTATCTCAACTTCTCTTAAAATATCTCAACTTCTGTTAAACTTGTTTTTGTAGGAATGTTTTAGTCGAAGGATTAGAAGATTGTTTAACACTACCTAACAGTGAGAAATATGATTCACCATTATGTTCTTGTGTTGTTGATATAGATTTTGATGGTCAAAATGAGATCTTAATTGGTACATACGGTCAGGTAATAAAAAATTTATTTCTGTCTTGGATATTTTCCCAAGGAATCTTTATTCTTGCATTTTCTGAAAACCAGTGAATAAAGTCTAATGGTGATTGACAGAATCACAGTGTTGAGAGGTTGGATACGGTGATATATACATTAAAGTCAATGGAGAAATTAATGGTGGTCTACCTCTAGGCCAATAGGGGATTTACTCCCCTTGATTGGAGTTATTGGGAATAGTCAGTCTGGACATCCCAAATTGACAGAATTGCGTAAATGTGCAGCAGATTTAAGCCCTGTCACAGTTCTGTGCAGTCCCGACATCAGAGTTGCTGTGAGTAGAATCAAGACGTAATTAAACACAACAAATATGTTTCAGCAGCATGGTTGGTTAAAATATTTTCTTACGCAGTCACCACATGCGTTGTAGCCCGAAATCTCCCATTTCACTCATTTGTCACTATTTTCAGGATTGAGAGAATTCGATTCCGGATTGTTCATTTGAGTGTCCCCCTAGAGAGTAAATCATAGAACAGAAAAGTAAATCTGAAAAATCTAGGTTTATTTAATACACTGATTGCTAAACTAATTAGAAATTTATAAAATGAAATAAAAAGAAATGGGATTTAACATGTTACTGTTCTGCAACAACTGGGTTAATGAAGACGGGCATATGCCATGTAGTGTACTTTGAGGGAAATTTAGCCTGGACATCGGGGCCATGCCGACTCTTATTTCAAATTTGAAGTGTCTAGGGTTCTATTATGTGCACGCCAATGTGTACATAGGACCTCCGTTTCTCTGCCCATTGGAACGAATATACATTGTCATTTGCCAGACTCTCCGTCCTGCACCATTGACAATGACGGAGAACCACACCAAAAAATCTGGATGAACTTTCACGGCCAAAGCAGTGATGGAACACAGGACCTCTAGGTTAACGAGCCAGTGTCCTACTCACTGAGTCACCATGGCCCCCGATTTGAATTTTATACCCCGACATTGTCATGCATTTGTATATTGTCATCACTCCTGTCTGTCAGTCTGTCATACCCAAAAACGTTTTATTTCTTTAATATTAAGTGCAGTAGACCGGTAAGTAATTTAAATTTTACTGTACAACGCTATTATTTGTTTTATTTAACAGGAATTGTTGGCCTATAAATATACTCAACAAGATGCCGGTTCAACGTTAAAACAAACAGAAGACATTATACCTGACATTAAAAAACGATTGAAATTTAAAACATTGAACGAGGAAAGTGAGACTTTAAATTTGAAGAAATTAAAAAGTTCATTGGAAAGTGTTGCAAGTTGTGCTAGTCGGAATCAATCAAATGAAAGTTCTCCTGATAGAAACTATAAAAAAGAAGGTTTTGAGTTATTGTGGACGAGAAGTTTTGCTTATCCTGTAGTTGGAGTTGATAGTATAGATATTATGGGGGATGGTATGGAAGATTTAGCAGTAGTAACATTAAAGGGCTTGCACATATTACAGGTATGGCATATCATTGTTAGCTTTGGCCTTAAGATATTTTGGACAGTATGTTTAACATATTACAGGTATTGCATATAATTGTTAGCTTTTGGCAGATATACTCCGGTAATGTTCCGGACGTAAAATCTATCTGAGTCGTTATCTAGTTTTTAACTATCATAGTGAGAACTGCCAACTGGTTATCGAATCTCCCATAATGTATCTTTAAAGGGATAAATTTCAACATATTTGATGTATTCCCCATAAACTCATGATGGTTTTCAACTAAGTTTGAAATGTATTTCCAGGATTGTGACTTTTTCTAAATGATTGATGGAATCAAGGAAATATGGTCTTCTATGTTAGCATTATTCTCACTATGTAAAATCCTAAATGCACACATGGGTTTTCTCTGGGTCCTCCAGTTTTCTCCTAGAGCTAACGACCCCTACACGCAAGCAAATTATCGAAATAAAATTGTTAGTCCCAAAATGACCTAGTTTGTGTCGATTGGGTTTCCTGTTTTATTCATAATAAATAATTTTACTATTTTCAGCCTGATTTAAGTGAAGTAGCTAAGGTCTGTTTAGAAAGATTACGTATATTGGCCGATACTGGATCAGAGGTGGATGATGCTTACCTGGAACTACAGAATGAAAGTTTAGAAGGAGAGATATGAAATATTTCAAATTAAAATATTTATCTAATAAAATGTAATTGTTCTTCTTCCATGATATGGGTGGGTTGGATGGTCGAATGGTCTAACGCATGCGCTTTAGATCATAAGATCTGTCATTGAGTCAAGTTGCGTTATTTCGAGTCGGCACTTGTATGTGACAAGGTGTAAGGTTGCATGTCCAACCTTATGGGGTTTCTTTGGGTCTTCAGATTTACCCCCACTGCTAAAGACTCCTATTTTATCATGTTATCATATGACCTAGTTTTTGTTCAGTAGATGTCAAACCCTATTTTTCTCTCTCTTTTGTGATATCAGAGGAAGCTACGGTTGTCTTGCAATAAGATCCAGGGTTTGAACCAGGCATGAGCTATAAGCAGAACCCCTGGATGTCATTTGTCAGGGATTGTGGCTAAAGAGCGGGAAACAGGGCTGTAACTAGCTCAGAGCAAAGAGTAGGGGGGAAGTGTTCTCGGGGATGCTGTAATATTGACGAACAATGTATATCTATGTTTTTTATGGGCCGAAAAAATTTTCACAGGGGGGGGGGACTTTTTTCGAGCCCCCCCCCCCCCTCTGTGCCCCCCTAGTTACGGGCCTGGCGGTAAAGGAAAATGTGTTTAGTCATGTACAATTGAAGGGATTTATAAATTTGTCCCCATAAAGATGTTGATATCCCATGGGTGAACGGTTAGCTAAGACGTATAATAGCTAAGACGTATAATACGCAAACGTAATACGATAGAATTCATAACCGGGCCAAAACGCATGAATTTTTTTGGGTGAAAATTTTGTTATATCTGACGTAAGAAAATTTAAACAAGAATACTACGATATAGTGATAATAAAATTAAATCATATAAATTAAATAAAAGGGCTTGGTGGACACTTTTTAAAAGTCATGCTTTTCATACCGTCAAGTCCTCCAGGGATTCCCTACCCTGAAAGTTAAAGATACACTGTTTTATGGCCGATTGTGAAAAGGCTTATATTTTAAACTATTATTTTTCGAGTCAATATCATCTTGAGAATGATAACGATGATCCTCTGGAACTTTACGTTATTTGAAATTGAACAACCTGTTTACACAGCAGCTGAGGTAAGCGATCAGTTAACCTCACTTTCGACAAATAAAGCCAGTGGACCTGACAGAATTAGCATTATTTTGACACAATGTGCTACGTCCAGGGGCGTGGCTATACTATTTTGAGCCCGGGCCCTCTTTCGCGGGGGATAGGGGGGGGGAGTCCGGTGGGGGGGGGGGGGCTCTGCCCCCGGCCACCGGAGGTCGAGAAATTTTGCAAAATAGAAAACATTTTGGTGCATTCGGACATATCCTCCAGTAACAGTGTATAGAAAACGATTGACTCGGACTCGGGAGACCCTTTCCCTTTGCCAGAGGGGCCCCTTTGTCTGCCTTTAGGGTCCTCCCTAACTAGGGTACATTTTCATTTTTCTCCAGCACCCCAGCTATAAAACGCTTTTGGCTACGTCATTAATCCGCCCCCTCTGCAAATTGTTTAATTTCTTACACAATGTATCTGTATTTCCGGACACATGGAAACAGGCTATCGAAGCTTGGTGACATTCTCGATCCTTCGAATTATAGACCTATATCATTATTAAGTTTACTTGAAAAAGTCTTTGACGTTTTTAAAAGACTAATTTACAAAGATATACACAATTTTTATTAACTAATCATCTATTAAGCAACTTCATTGGATATATGCAAATTGATTTTACTGGTCAGCCAAGCGAATTGCAGTATTTCTTAAAATTTCGATTTTATCTTAGTTTAAATTTTCATGAATAAGGGTCCTGTACTATTTGTCAATTAATGGTTATATTTCTTCAGCTCTCGATAACGGTAAAGAAGTAAAAGCCATCTTTAGTGATATTCGCACAGCCCCTCGACCGTGTGTGGCATAAGGATTTGATTCACAAACTGAGTTGTTTCGGTATCCGAGTTAACTCCTATATTATACTCTTCAAAAAAAGTAGGGGATATTCAGAAACAATACAAAACTGCGGAAATTCACTTCTGTTTTTATTAGAGGTAACCAGTGTATGTTAATAACAGGCCAATTGCCTACACATGAACATAAACAGTTTATATGGGCGGCTTATCTGACGGCCCCATTTCACTCGCAAAGAGATACACCGTCAAAAGTGAAAATGGACGTTTTTGATTTGTGTCTTAATAATGAGTAATTATTGCTCCACCAATCCTCAGACATTCGGCAATTCGTCGTGGCATGCTCCTAATCAACCGTCCAATCACGAAATGGGGCAATCTGACCCACTCCTCTTGCAGTGTCACGGCCAATTCTTGCAGTGTTGTCGGTTGACGTCGACGAACACGTCTCCCGATCAAATTAAACGTAACACACTAAAGATACGCTAAACAGTAAATCGTATGCAAGAACCGATATGAAAGCAAACATGGATAGATTAACCAGCACGCGGCAGTTTTCATAAACCCTTCCTTGAAGTGTCAAATTTGACAATGAACTCCTCCCACGTGTATGGCACTATTGCGTGTCGCATGTGCAGCTCAGTGGTTCTGTTGGGGCGATAAGTTCTTCATCTGTGAACATACTCTCAATGCATGTCAAGTATCCATGACTATTTATCATATCACGACCTGCATAGGTATTTGCATTTCAATATCCCCTACTTTTTTTTTGAAGAGTATAGATTAGAATAGAAAATAACCAGTAGTTAGTAAAGGCGAAAGCTCTAACTTAAATAATATAACCGTAGGTGGCCCACAAAGATCAGTATTTGGTCCACTTCTTTTTTTTATTTATATCAATGATAATACTGAAAATATCGATTCTCATATACGTTTAGCTTTGTATCTAACAATTGAAAATCCAGATGAATGTGAAAATAATATTAAATTTAGAATTGAAGTTGATTAACAGCTGGTCGACTAAATGGAAAGTAAGATTTAACCCCATGAAAACAGCTTCCATGACATTCTCTAGAAAACAATTCCAAGCTTCTTTTGAATTAACAACGTAAAAATTAAGGAATCGATATACTACAAGCATATTGTCAGTGAGATAACCACATTGAATATGTAATATTTAAAGTTAAAACACTCTATTGACTGTATCCGTGGCTTAAAAAAGCGCGTTTCTTGAATGTCTCTAGAAATTATTTACAATGTATTTATTTTTAACCTTATTTGACACCCTGGGTTGGGACAACTGTAACAAATTTGAGTCCTTAAAATTAGAAAATCTCCGTTTAGATGCATTAAGAACCATAACAGGTCTTGTTCACGACACTTCCCATAATGTACTTTATACTATGAATATTTATATAACCCACTAAGTCTTCTTGTACCGCCTAAAATTTCTGAAGCACAGTCTTGCTCTGTTCTTAAAATGAAATGAATTGAAACATATTGCTACTAACACTTTGGAATAATCTTTCTAATGATACTCAAAACGCCTTCACTACACTAAATTTCAAGATTAATATAAGTGTGAATGATCATAAAATACATGTACCCAAATATTACTACGTTTGTGAACTTAAATTTTAGATTATCTATTCCAGACTTTATTTAATTGTATTGAAATACATAATTTACAAGCTTCGGCTTGTTTTCATATCCATTATATCAGTATTGTAAATACTCATGTTGTACTCGAAGTAAAATATTGTTTAAACCAATAACAAAACCAATGAAATTATTCATATTTTGCAAATTCATAAATTCAATTTTGTCGAACTTTAATTAGTGCCGCTAGGTAAATTTATACTGCTTATATTTATATTCTTTCATTATGCATTAGGCGTGTAGGTAATAGAACTCTTGACAGTTGAAATTTGAAATAAGAGTAGGTTATAGTGTCGCTGCCGGGCAAAGTTTCCCTCATAGCACACTGTATGGCGAAAGCCCGTCTTCATTAGCCCAGTCGGAGTAGAATGCTAAACCCAATTTCATTTCATTTCAGTTTATTGTGTACTTCGTCGTAACTTTGTTCGTGAGAGAGTGAGAGAAATGGGGTTTAACGTCCACTCGACACAAACTAGGTCATTTCGGGACTAACGTATGGTTTAATTTTAATAATTCGCTTGCGCCTAGGGATCTTTAGCAGTGGGAGGAAACCGGAGGACCCGGAGAAAACCCACGAGGTTGGACAGGCGACCCTACTCCTTGCCACGTACAACCGGGGAATCGAAACCACGCCAGTTGACTCAATGACAGATTTTATGATACAGCACGCCCACGCTAACCATTCAGCCCCCCCCCCAAACTTTGTTCGTATAGATGTCGTTATGTGAAATAGATGAATACAATACCAACTGAAGTTATCACCAATTATGAGTCACCACCCAAGTATAATAAATATTATATAAAGTAAAGTCATTTTAAACATATCTGTCATTAGTTGTATTAATTTTTGTGGGTGTTTGATTGAGTTGAGACGGAAGGTTTGGTTAGATTGATCATTTACAATAATACATGAAACAAGTTAACCCAATAGAAAATAGCCGATAATACTTTTGGTTATACAAGATTAGATTGATCATTTACAATAATACATGAAACAAGTTAACCAATAGAAAATAGCCGATAATACTTTTGGTTATACAAGATTAAATTTATGTGACAAAACAGGTCAGCACTAGAAGCCAACCGTTTTGTAAATGGAGGCAGTAGCCATTTAACTAACTACGGCAGTTAGTTATAGGAAAAATAAAATCGGAAAAATTAATTCAAGATCGAATCCATACTTTTAATTAAACAGGTTTTTTTGTAGTGAATGACCACATATTTTGTAAATTTGTTTCCCACCCGATTAAGTATATTTGAATTTTTAGTCTTTGATATGATCTGTGGTTATCTTTTTGGTAGCAGGGCATTTATTTCAGGTTGGGCCGCACATGTTCAACATTTTTTTTCTTCAGACTTGCCGGGATTATTTCCTTTGGTCAAAAAGATTATCCCCGTCGAAATTCAGTAGGCCTATGTTTCGAATGCATGTCGCAGAAGTATCGCCTCGTTTACGTCCACATGGAATCCCGTGAACGCAATTATACAGGACAGTGTTCTTGACAATTGTTTCCTGTGATATTGTTCATATTTTTAAATGAAATGAAATAGGGTTTAACGTGCTACTTTTCTGAACCGACCAGGGAAATGAAGACGGCGAGTAGCATTATTCTGACTGTTAAAGCTTTTGAACCCGATATAGAAAAAAAGTTCTTAAGGAAATTCTTAAGAATTTGTCTGGATATTTTCTAGGTTGTGCATTAAGATCAACCCAAACTTTGGGGAACTTAAGGAAATTCTTAAGAATTTGTCTGGATATTTTCTAGGTTGTGCATTAAGATCAACCCAAACTTTGGGGAACTTAAGAAATTAAACGTTTAACGTTTATCTTGTTTTAAAGGAGCTAAGTCGCTAATATTTGGGACATAGAAATTGGTACAGATGGGTCGCAACGCATACAAGAATGTAATATGAATGTATATAAATTGATTTACATTCAATCGTTTCTGATTTTACTGTAATTTCTAATCAGTTATGTTCGGCGAAATACGCCAATATTCTCAATCTAATTTCAATCTCTAGCGTCTGGTTATTCCAGTCTACGCCGATAGTATTTATTGGGCATGCTCTTCGGATAAGAATATAGCGTCACCGTTTGACATGACGTGTTGAATATGCCTAGCATCGTTTTTCGAGTCCCTTATTACAAATAGCGCTGAAACGCATTATGGTATACGATTCGTGTACCAATTAACAAATGTTTATTTTGTCTTAAATATTGGATATCAGAAGGCCATCTTTTCCCGGTAAGATCACAACATCAATGGTGATTTAAACCGACAAATAAATCGTGTTTTCAATGTCGAAGATTTTGGATGATATTGAGTTAGAGACTTAGCTACTTTAAGTTACTACTATGGCAATTAAACGGGATACTATTGATGGATCTCAAACTCAAAACTTATATACAATAGAGTGGGTACGTCGACTCTGAAGACTGATCCTGGTATGACATTATCCATCCCTTGCTAATTAAACACTGGTATTAATATGCCTATTCAGTTTTGAATCAGATTATGTTGATAGGTTTTCTTTGTAACTGAATCATGCATAAAAAAAAACCTTTCAAAACCCTTATGTAAGTGCTGCACATTATAATCTTTGGAAACCAATAAACGAGTTAAGAGTCCAATTGGTAAGTATTTCTGTCCCGGTAGTTATTTATATCAATGGCAAAGTGATTTTTTCTTTTGAAAGTTGTTGTCAACAAGGAAATTTGTTTTAATAAAATTTAAAAATGGGGTACACGTACTGAAAGTTAGTGAATTGTACAGTTACCAACAGTTCTAACATTAATAGAGAGGATCATTAAGTGATACAGTTTGAAACTGTGTTGACGTATCCATTCATTATATCATTGTTTACCCGGAAATTGCTCCCAAAAAATTTGAAAAATATAAAAAAATGAAAGCATTTAGATGAACGATATAGTTCCCTGGGGCCCTTGTAGTTTTAGTAATTAGTTATTTATAAAACACTATATCACCATCAATAGGCTTAATTACGGCGGATAACGACGTTATATTATGATGAATTGGAGACAATGACGATACAAACTAAAAACAAAATGTATAAAAGAAAGCGTAAGGAACTATAGCCTTTAACCAGGATCAAAGAACAGAAGAGAAAGGAAACAACAAGTGACATAAAAACAACAGTAAGTGGTCTTTCTTTTATCCTTGTTTTATTCGTATGCTGGGTGTTCAAACACTGGAGTCTTTCGAGTCCGTCTCCGAATTATAAACAAAACTTCTGACACAAACCGTACGTATGTTAAAGATCTCTTTGCATCGGGAATTCCAAAGACGAGTCCAGGGGCGAAATTTCTCCCCTGCATATCCCACTTTTTAGGATAGAAACTTAAACTGCTAATAGTCGGCGGAGATAAGGCTGAGAAATGATTCAAAAACGGAGTTAAAGCCCCTGTCATCAAAACCTTGAACACCTTCCAATTGATTAAGAGTTTGAACAACTAACTATTTAAGAGTTTTAGATGGAAGACAGGTTCTATGACTGAGCAACATACTGTGACGCCCTGCCTCCACCAAATAACTTTCCTTACATTTAAACATGTCAAAACCGTGATTCATGTCTTTAGAAGCATACTGAAGTAACACGTCTATCCTTTGATGATCCATGACAGCGGGAATTCCATGACGAGTAGGCGAAAACGCAAATGCACTTGCACGGGTTTTATCCGTGTTCATTGGGCCGGTTTTATGCAGAACAATAGACATTAAATCCCATTCATTTTCTTTTCTGGAACATCTAATACAACTTTGTTATGGGAGCGTCAGTCACTTTGACACGTTCGCGAGGAAGAGTTCACGCACTGTTACTATGCTTCTATAATATGTACGTTTTCTCCGCATTGTCTCCAACTACTTTAAAGTTACAATTTCATATTTTTAAGTTATATCTTTAAAATGTATTAAAATAAAGCCTTAAAATCGATGCTATGTATAAACAGTCCTACCTTGATAAAGAATAATTCTATTAATCCTATAATTCACTATTGCCAGTTGATAAATTGGCAAAAATATTATTTTCAACTTCAAATTCAAACGTTTGAAGATAGCTACTCCATGGTGGGGAATAGAAAACAAGGGAGTTAATTGAAAGGTAATTGTGTTATTATTTCCGGTGTTATGATTTTTAAGTGTGAGAAAGACGCCTATGATCGTATGATATTGAGTTGACAACCTATTGAGCAAAAGACATAGAAATAATTATGTTTTGACTTTCTTAGAAAATGTGAAATTGTAACTTTAACTGCATGCACGGAAAGGATAGCGCTTCTTATTTTCTATACAAAAACCCAAAATGGCGTTTTATTCCTGCATATATTATTATATCAAGTATTCTGCTGCTCGTACAATAATTGGTATTGAAAGTTCTTCATTGATTTATTTTTGTTTTTGTTTTTCAGAAAAAAACCCCAAACATGATGTTATCTGTATTTACCCTGGCGATGTGTGTTGCCGTAGGATTGGCAGTTTATGATCCATATGATCCAAACTGTATAACAAATCAAGGTATAAGTGCTATTGGTGTTGACCCTAACTGGCGAATTAACCGCGGAGGTAAGTTTTAAATTTAGTCAGTATTATGACAGTGTACCCAAGATCGCCCGTTATGAAAATAGTCTAATTACTCATTGGCGATAATGTGCTCAACCCTCTCATGAGAGATGCCCACAACACTGGCAATATATCGAATGGTCAATCATCGATAAACCAAAATCATGTCAGGCACCCGGGTAATGTTTTCTTGGATGGTTGCTCTCTTTGCGCCGCTTAAATTCCGCAGCCCAATTCTTAATTGTGGAGAAGGAAGGGGCATCATCTTCTAAAATGGAGACCATTTCGGCATGTATTTGTGTTGGGGTTAGTCCTTCCGTTGCAGGTACTTCATGATTGTCATATAACCAGTTTTTCAATAATAACACTACGGCTGTAGTTCTTATGTGTATGATTCATTGAATGATTGTACTTGTAGGTGGAAAATGTTTGTTTCAACCCAAATGATCTATTAGTACGGACGGACGGGCAGGCGTGACGACAATATATGTCCACATAAAATGTATATAAATAGTTAAAATGAAAAATACAGGTTGCGCATATACAATTAACATTTAGATAATAAAAGTTTATATCTTTTAAAAAGTTTAAAGTAGCTAAGTCTCTAACTCAATATCATCCAAAATCTTCGACATTGAAAACACGATTTATTTGTCGGTTTAAATCAACATTGATGTTGTGATCGTACCGGGAAAAGATGGCCTTCTGATATCTAATATTTAAGACAAAATAAACATTTTACTATTGGTACACGAATCGTGTACCATAATGCGTTTCAGCGCTATTTGTAATAAGGGACTCGAAAAACGAGGCTAAGCATATTCCACAAGTCATGTCTAACGGTGACACTATAATCTTATCTGGGGAACATGCCCAATAAATACTATCGGCGTAGACTGGGATAACCAGAAGCTAGAGATTGAAATTCGATTGAGAATACTGGCGTATGTCGCTGAACCTAATTGATTAGAAATTACAGTAAAAAAGAAACGATTGAATTTAAATCAATTTATATACATTCATATTACATTATTGTATGCGTTGCGACCCATTTGAGTCAATTTCTAGGTTCCAAATATTAGCGACTTAGCTCCTTTAAGTCCCGTTTTCCATGTTTTTCGCGGCGTTTGACAATATATCACAGATTTCGATAACAATACACTGGCTACTTATGGTCCGATCTGGGTAAATTTAGATTTATTGTTGAAGTGTATAACTGTGTATATTTCAGGTTCATTTATTGGGCGACTACAACCAGATATGCATATCGGTAAGTAAATACGATCTGATATTAAATAAATTAATGTAATTAAATATATTATGCAAGAGCTAAATCTGCCTATTTGCAGGTCTGTCTTTAGGCCTGAAATGTTGTCTAAGTTATTAATTAGACATTAATCAACTTATCCAGACCATAATTAACTCTCGATGTCATTGCTGGATTGCGATATTTATTGGATTGGGATCTGATTTGCTGCTCAACTTTCATTCATGATTTAATCATGAAATGGATAATCGAGACTATGTTTTTTATCGTACCGACTTTAGTAATGATGATCGAGGCTAGGCCGAAAATTAAATCGCTAAACTCCCGGTTCACTTTACATTAGGCAACACAAATAAAATAACTTGTTTCTCGGGCACCGCCCGCACGCAAAATTGGTTGCGCGTGCAGTCTATTTATTAGTCTTGATGAAAAAAAAATAAATATGTAACGCCCGCCCGCACATCGACAAGCAAGTCGTAAAAAAAATATCCCGCATGTACCTACATCCGCCATACATGTATATCTATTCAAATGTATTAAAACTGATTCAGATGAGCATGCTGTCTTTTTTATCCGAACAATGGCGAAGTTTGGCAGATTTGCCTTTTTTATTGATATCGAAAGAACCTCCATTTTGTATCACGTGATATTAATTACCTCCCCTGATAAACTAGAATTTGATTCGTGTTAAAAGTCATTGGCGACAATATTTCAATCATTCGATCGTAATCGGCTCATTATTGCCGGCTTCAGTCGGTCCTTGTTTGGAAAATCCTATTGATAAAATAATGAACCGTAGAACAGGTTAATTAATTATAGCTAAGAATACGATACGATGACAATAGTCGTCATAATGCATACCTTAGAATCTGGGTCATTATTAGCACATTTACGGTAGTTTCGATAATCCGGAAAATAATAATTGGATTACCGATTTGATGGTTTTACTGACCAGTTGTTAGTTAGATTTAAATAGTCATTCAATATAAACACCGGATAGAACACATCGAATATCCCAAGAAACAGTATTTCCGGCAATCTCCAATACCGATGACACGGTGTGACATGCATTGGTTGGAATTCGGTAAATAATTATAAATAAACCGGCGATACTAGATTTAGTTTTAAATACTGTTTACCATGATTATTATTTTTGATACACCTGGTGAAAGAGGCTTAGTTTTTAAAAATATTGCTGTCTTTATGGAGGGCTATTACATAGTCGTATGGAATTTTATTTTAAACCAATTTCAATTATGTGAATTAAATATGGAAAATTATTTTCCTTTCAGTCAGTGTTCAGTCTCAGTGTTTTAGTAGACTTGATTTTGGGTTTATGTTTTAAATATGTACAATAAAGTTGAATATAACGGAAAGCAAAAACGTAAACAAGTAATGACTTTCTCATTTAAAAAAAAAAAAAAAGAAAGACCGCCCTCCCGCCCCAACAATTTTCAGCAATAGCCAAATTTTATTTTGCACCATCAATGAGTAAAAAAAAAAAAGAAACCGCCCTCCCTCCCTACAGTTTCAGCTGTCAGTTGCCCGAGAAACAAGACATTTATTTTGTGTGGCCTTATTTAGTGTTTATCTATTATAGTAAGAACTGCCAGCTCTGTATCTAATCTCCCATAATGTATATTTTGGTTTATCAAAAATACAAACCTCTTTGTGATATTATGCACGATGGTTGAATCGTTTATACATGTGTATATCTTTGTTGTCTGTACACAAAACGCCGGCGATAAGTTCCCAGCATGATCAACAAGAACCAGCGGAATCTAGCGAGTGAAAAATGTCTATTCAGCCCGACCATGGCGACTCTAAGCCATGCCCCCCCCCCACCCCGCCCGTACGCTACCAAAAATCCAAAAATGGCACATCTCTTTCCTCGATTCCTGTCTAGCCTACATGCCTATCTTTATATATTCTTATAGGTAATCGATGGAAGAGGAGCACTTACAATGCCAGAGGAGTTGACTGGGCAAGAGATAGTATATGGGATAACGATCGACGGGGAAACCGACGTGGCAACCAATGGGACAACGGCCGATGGAACTCACAGAGAGGCAATGGCAGATGGAGGAACAGCAGACGGTGGGACAATAGAAACAGAAATAACCAATGGGAGCCACGAAGAAACTATTAAAATCTTTCTTGGTATATATTAAATATCAATAAAAAGCTGTGAAATGATACAATAGTTCATTCTTTTAAAATGAATAGAGATTTCACTTGCGCCTCAATTTTTTAAAACCTTTGTGTATCATTTTATAATTACTTCGTGAAAAGGGTGTATCAAATCGTCAGTTGAGTCACTATTCCATCACCAATGATTACAATTACAGTTGTACGTTAAAATATACAACTTGATGGAATTCTCGGAATATATAGTCAGTCGCTTGTGCGGAAAAAAAAACATCGGGGTAGATAAAAAAAAAAATAATTATTCGTCGTTTATAGATATTAGCCATTATCGACGACACCTTTGTTTACAGTCTTTTGGGTGGCGGAGCCACGGTGGTTAGATAACTTGGACGTCCCGTCTTCGATCCCTGCGTTGGCAGAGAAATTCATCAAGATATCCCAGCGTGCCCCCTCCCCCCACCTTTGTTAGTGATGCTGGGCAGATGGCTTGGCTAGTGACAACGTATTGTCGTTCGGATGTCGTGCACGTAAAAGATCCCTTGCTGATCGCACAAAATTTCCCTGTATGTCGTATACCCGTCTTTATTAGCCCAGTAGGAGCAGAACAGTAGGCCGTTAAACCCCATTTCATTTAATTTCATTTGGACAGGACAAGGATAAATGTCAAATAAATTATATGTAAAATAATTTAGGTCGGGTTATAAAATAGTTTATTCGGCTAGGTGGTATTAAAGGGTCACATCTTCGAACAATACTGATTATTTCACTGCTTCTTAATTTCCACTAAAAAGTACACAAATTAATTTCTTGAACATCTATTTAAGAAACCAAAACAACGAACGAAATCAGATTACAAGGAGGCTGATCAAAAGATTTTACCCGGTACTTATAGGTGGCACTGACCTGTTGATATCGTCAAGTATATATTGTGAGGTGGATACATAAAATATTATATGGGAGTCCCTTTAGGGCCTTTTATTAAGAACATCCCGTCAACAACTTAAATTTTCCAAATGGACTTAAAATGATAATCTTATTTGTACTGTAATAGTACATCTACTGATTGTTGTATTTTGTTCACAAAAATTCATACAAGTAAGATCAAATCATCCACAAGGCTACTTGAGCTACCACCCATCTTCAGGCACACCAATTATTCCATCTGCCTTTTCGACTGTGTTAGTCTGTTCATATATTTGACCAATAGCCATAGTTGAAACCTCGGTTTTACTCTCCACTGTGAAACTCCAGGACCAAATAGTTAAGCCCACACGAACATTAAAAACCACGGGTGAGACTTTGGTAAACAGTAAGAACTAGTATCAGATAAATTTGGTTTGCGGAAATGATTTAAATAATTATTATAGTGTTTATCCAAACGAGAAACACTGAAATCACAATCACAGAAGCGTGATGAAATAATCAAAGATAAAAGAATATCTCTCACAATAATGACCCCCCCCCCTCCCGCACCGCCACCACGAGCTCTGAATAATTAAAGAAAATGAGCATTAATATAAAAGGCTAGGTACGGACTAAACAATATCATGAATCGTAGAAAACAGTTTTTTTATGGTCTACCATAGGGTTTCTACACCCCCAAACGGCCTCTCCACCATGCATCATTTCCACTCTAGCATTTAATAGCAAGCGTTTAATATTTAATATGGCACAAAATATATTCAAGGCAATTCAAGAGTTCTAGAATCAAACAAGGCAATTTGGCGAGATTTTATCTCAAAAATTGATAATTCGTTGCCCGAAATGTCGACCATTTTAATAATGGTCGCTATCTTGGATTTTCAGTTGGCTAATTAGCTTTTTCAACAGAGTAGTCCCCAGTTGTATTTGTACCAATTTTGATACATGTATCCATCCTTGAAATATTCCCTAGATAAATGCAGTTATCTGCTGGTTTATATCTTATCCAAGGACATAAGAACTCGACGCACATCCGGGCTTCAAATTCTACTCAATGCCCCAATCCAACGAAAGCCCCGGGCTAATGCTGCTGTCAGTCATTATTGATTACCTGGAAAGTAGATTTTAAAAAAACAACAACATAAAACACACCATATATTATGATGAACGATTTAGTCCCTAGAGGCTCATTGCAGTTTTACATGTAATTATTTATTTTTATACAAAAATCCTACATTGTGCTAGTCTTCAAGCCGTGTTTTTATGGAATCCGACAGTCACAACTATTAGAGAATCCAGGTTAATCCTAATAGAAATAGGTTAAAAATATATCACACCTATTCAAAATCATCTTCCCTGGTGCCATATCAAACGTAATACGGTTATCAAGTGTACTGCCCACGTTGTGATAGTTGAACATTGTGTGGAACACCAGTGTCTATGGTGATCCATGTGGATTTAAGCTATCTCATATCGAAACAGTTAGAGCAAATTGTCACAGAAACACCACTGGTGACAGGTTGGCCAGATAGCAATGAAATGGGGTTTAATGTCCTAATTTTCCGATCAATTTTGTCCAGACAGCGACGTTTCCGCCTATTATGCTCATCATACTCATGACAATGATATGCCAAGGCTGACACCTGAACACCGAAAACTCGCCATTGAGTTAATGCAAGAGGGCATATAAGAGTCGATGGACGCAGCCTTGCAACGAGAGTCGAAAGGGATTTCACACGTATACTGCTTTTAGAAATGGGCACACACTCTACGTTTCAATGTAGTGTAAAACTGTTATGGTCCCTGTTGGTTACTGTCATTATTTTCAGGTGCAATATATCTCGCCAGCATTTACAGTCAAATCATTGCGTATTTTCGTTGCCCACTATCTTCTCGACATCTATGCTCAGTGCGTTGTTATTCGGTCAATGACACATGCCATGGCAGTAATTCTCTTCGAAATTATATGACAGGAGAGCTGATGCCGGAATAACAAATGGATGGAGACACAACGGATGGAGAGAAAATAATGGATGGAGGAATAACAAATGGATAGAGACACAACGGGTGGAGAGGAAAAAAAATGGATGAAGGAATAACAAATGGATTGACACATAACGGATGGAGCAAAACAAACGGACGGGGAAATAACATGAATGGAGACATAAGAACGAATGAGGAGAAAAATACTAATGGAGGAATAACAAATGGATGGAGACATAACAACAGATGAGGGGAATATCACAGATGGAGGCAACACCGGGTGAAGACATAACAACAGGTGGAGAGAAAATAACAGATGAATTAATAATAAATGAATGGAGACATCAGAAAAGAAAACCAGGTTATATACTCGGGGAACTTTCTAAATCAGCACCGGGATCGAACGATTATTGAGCCAGTGCTCATTGATTCATGTCGACGAATTATTGCTTTTTAAACAGTGTAGCCCAATTCTCTACCTTATTGTACATGACAGTATATCTTTCTGGGTATTATATAACGAATTTATTTTCCTAGGGCACCCGGCGGGTGCATAATATGTCGTATCCTGAAATAAAACACGTGCTCTGCTTATTGTCTATCGCCAAAGTTTGTCAGAAACCATTAAGATTTTGGGAGCCAGGTTAGGTCCATTCCCGATGTTGGATTTTCCGGCATAGATTTCCCTTGCCAGTGCTGCTGGTGGAAGGGCCAGGCGAGGAACAGTGTCTAGTCGTTTAGGATGGGACTGACCGATGTGTCGTGTACACATTTACGTAATAGGCCCCTTGACAGGTCGTATCGTAGCATACTGCACAGGCTTTACTCACAAAAATATACATGACACAGCTCCATTAAATCAATAGGTTTTAATTTTATAACTAATGCATCATTGAATTGAATTGGAACTTAAGGTTCTACTTTTTTTACCGGACAGCGGAGATTACGTTTACTCTTCATCCAATTCTAACTGTCAAACATTATTTCAGTGGGCGCCAACGAGTGCACGAGACCGCGTTTTTGTCCATCCCAGGGATTAGAAGATCTCTGACCTAAACCACTGTCAAGGGAAGGGAGACCCGAAATAAAATCGAACCCCGGACCCGGCGGTGAGTCTAGTGTGCCAAGTGCCTTACAAACTGGGGTTTAACGTCCTATTTTTCTGTTCCAACCGGGCTTCCGAAGACCTATAATCGCAATGCAGGGTACGATCATGGAAATTTTGCACGGATAGCAATTGGATTCCAACTGTAAAGGATTCATTTATGTACGCGCCAACGTGTGCACGGTGCCTCAATTCATCGCCCATTCGAAGAACTAGGCACTTCCTTGCCAAGCCCTTCTTTCTGCACTATTGACAGGAGAAGTCAATCTGGGCACTCAGGATGCAATAAACATATATATCACAGGGTATCACCTGGAGATTTATTTGTGCGTCATCAATTCATTTATCATAACTTAATTATTATTAATCATCGGTCATTATTAGAGTATATCACCCGATAGACTATATAGGAGTATGTTGTCGGCTAAATATATCGATATTATTGAAACATTAGATTGCGTAACAAATATCATTATTAGCATATCACAGCTTGTCAGATATATAGTATTTTCTTCTAATATAAAATCATTGAGTCGATTAGTATGGTTTTAAGCCTGTGTGTGTGCCCCCCCCCCCCCACACACACACTGCCAAAGACCTCTACATACAAGCGAATTAATGATATAAAATTACCTATAGTCTTTGTTTTGTGGACGTTAAACCCCATGTTCTCTAGCTGTCTAGTTAATTTAATGTGGTAGACAATGTTTCGTACGAAATTTGCCAGAGAATCCGATCGTGTTTGAAAGGCTTACCCAAGCATAAATTTTCGCGTCGCGTAAATATGCGTCTCTGAGATGAGCTTAGTTCTATTACAGCATGATTACAGATATCTCCAAAGATCACCATAACAACTAGCCTACAATTTCCCGGGGGGGCTGAAGTCGCTCGACAGTCGCTGGGCTATTAACAAATAATTAATGTCGAATCTTATTAAAGAATTCTTCGGCTTCGACTCGGGAGCAATTGTTGGTTTCACTAATGTATCATTTCAGAAAGTTAATACCCCTTTACCATAGAATAAAAT